TTTGATGTAATAGTTGATTCGTCTATGACAGTCGTTAATCCGTGCTCGTATCAGTCGTCTGCTGGTGGATTTGACAATCTGAATAGCCTCTTGTGTGTTCAACGGAGACTTAATTCTAAGTCCTGCCGGAACGAGACCAAAATCCTTGCAGCAGTGGTTGAACCAGAGTTGTTGGCGTATGCGTCTGACGTTGCTTGCAAAACGTATGTAGTCGTTAGCAAGTTGTTCGCTCTGTCGTCCAAATGATCGCAATAAAGTAAATGGTTTGAACCCGGGAGTATCGTTATATGTTTGTAAATGATGATCGTCCAGGTTAATAAAGTCCTGAGAAGGACTGTTTTTGATGTTGTTGACTGACGTTTCGACAACCTTAGCGGTAGTCATCTTCAGAGTCAAATGAGAAGTAAACGTCAGGTTAGCCGTATTTGTTGTCTGGTTCTTAAACTGGCAGGAACTTAAACATAAGACTTACTGAGCACAAACGAGCTACTAAGAAACAAGACAAAACTAATCACATTGCCGAACATCACCGAATCATAAAGCACAACATTGACTGGGACTCGGCAAAATGCATCACTTACAGTACTGACCATAGACAACGGCTTACATTAGAAAGTTGGTATACCAACTTGGAACAAACCCCCCTGAACAGATCACAGCAATTACCGGCACCTTACAAACGACTTATTCACAATACAAACAAACGATCAACTAAAAACATTACACTTCAAACTAATTCACAATGACAATACACAATTGACACCCACACACTACAACTAAAAACGTCACACCTAAATCACACATCACAACTAAAAATAAAATATTTCACTTCACACTAATCCACAATGACAATACACATTTCCTGCACATTTCCTGTACACACAATACAATGACGTAAGAACCAGACAACAAATACGGCTAACCTGACGTTTACTCCTCATTTGACTCTGAAGATGACTACCGCTAAGGTAGTCGAAACGTCAGTCAACAACATCAAAAACAGTCCTTCTCAGGACTTTATTAACCTGGACGATCATCATTTACAAACACAAAATATCAATGTTCAGCGATTGTATAAGAGATGGAGGTTAAAGACATCAAACCAGACCAAACAATATACGGCGTGTATAGACTGTAATCACGTCATAACTGGTGAAGCCTTGTTTTAATCGGACGAATTTATGGATTCAGTAACAAGACAGACTTTTCGTATTTTGTGGATGCTGTCAATGAATAGAGCATATGCCTTATTAATTTTTAATGAAAATGCGCGCTGTGCATTCTGGTCTTAGTAGTCAGACAGGTACTACGGTAAACATCAACATGGGCACTGCGGATAGTGATTGTGCAGCTGTTCTTTGTCGTCCTTCAGAGGTAACTCAAACGAATGAAAACCCTAGTTCTTTTCAGAACTCTTGCACGGTTATTCAGGAGTTTGTTACATCTGAAGCTTATGGCAAGGAAATCCCAGAAACGTCGTCGAAGGCGAAGATAGTTGGTGTAAATTCTAATACCGTTGCAAGTCCAGATAAGAACTCGCGACATTTAGTCGCTTAGATTGGGCAAAGTCTTTGGCTAATCTTCCATCTTTTACGCACGAGAAGCTTGGGCATAAGCTACTTAAAAGTAGAAGAGGAAAATCCGATAATTATGCGCCTAACGCTTTTAGAAATATGAAGAAAGGTTACGGTCTCTGGCGAGAAGGATATGTAAAGAATACAATGGTAAAAGCAAATGTTTCTACTTCAAATGGGGAGGTTTTATTTGTTGTAAAGGCGCGTGTTGGTGCATCTATGAAAAGTGTGAGCTATTCGGTATTTGTTCATTTAAATCAGAGAACTACTAAAGTGGAGTAAAGTATTTGTAACTGTAAAGCAGGACAAGGTGGATGCTGCAAACATGTCGCAGCGTTACTATACACAGTGTTAGACTTTGTGAATCTTAAGCTTTCTGCTGTTCCTGCCGAACTTACGCGTACTCATCTACCTCAAAAATGTACCAAATCTCTTCATGGCCAAATGGGGTATGACCAAAACCTGGAATACAAAAAGTCAATCCATGTAATGAAAATTCTGGACATATGAGATTGAGAGAGTCTTGCTCTCGTGGCAAGATCTTCTTCCAAAATGCCCAATCGCAAATGAGCCAAAACTAGGAACTCTTGTACTGCTGTAATAGATCGTTTTGGTCCTCGCTTTTTAATAGACTCATAGACCATTCTTCCTGAATCTGTGTTGGAGCCAAAATACACTAGCTTATTCACCAATGTACCAAGTGATTTAAAAAGAGTATGAAAAGTAAGACCAATGTAAAATCTAAATAGCCGATCATTGTTCTTGAACTGTTCTATTGAGAACTTGTTGCCCTTCAGGTTTTCTTTTAACTTCTCACTCAAAGCTATGATATCTGTTTTGTGTTGTTCATTTTCAGCTTTCAATTTATTATTTTCTGCCTTTAGTTTTTCATTGTTTGCCTGGAGCTCTCCGATTACTTTTTTTAAATGTTCAATTTGATCGACATTTTCAGAATTACCATCGCTAACAGTCATGTCTTCACCTTGACAAGAATCATTTTCTGCAATTTCCATTTCAGAAAAAAGTCTACTTGCTTTTGACTTTTTTTTGAAGGCAAATGTGTTCTGTGTCTTGCTTTATTAGTAGAGCGCGGAATCGATGGTGTAGGTAGAGTGACTTTTGGTACTAAAGTCGGTAGTCGATTTGAGTATGTTTCACGTCCCCCAACAAAATGTAATGAACACATTTGATACCCAACAGTTAGCAAGAAATCCTTCCGTGAAATAAGATTTATCCATTTCTTTCGCAACATCTTTGATTCTTCACTTTTACCGGCAGGAAAATTGTAGAAGGACAACTCGGGATTTTTTTGTTGTTGCTGAAACATCCAGGAACACAACATGTAAAGCCACCAGCACCTCCACGTTTCTTCGCCTTCGTCGACGTTTCTGGGATTTGCTTGCCATAAGCTTCAGATGTAACAAACTCCTGAATACCCGTGCAAGAGTTCTGAAAAGAACTAGGGTTTTCATTCCTTTGAGCTACCTCTGAAAGACGACAAAGAACAGCTGCACACTCACTATCCGCAGTGGCCATGTTGATGTTTACCGTAGTAGCGTGACTACTAAGAATGCACAGCGTGCATTTTCATTAAAAATTAATAAGGCATATGGTCTATTTGTTCGCAGTGAAAAAGTGGGAATTCATAATTAAAATCGTGGGACCAAATTATCGACGTGTCATAGTCGGTAAAATGTATCAAACTATGCGCGGGAAACACAATTGTGTATCTGCAATCAATAAAACGTTATATTGGACTACATCACTTGGAACGATTGTTTATTCTAAATGTTATTTAAAAAATTAGGAGCAAATAGCAAATTGGCCCAAAATAGTTATAAACTTATATTAACGTCGTATGAGTAAATTATGAAAAGTTATAATGCGTAAGTTTATGTTAATTTATCGGTTTAGAGAGCGTCATCTCATGCACGTCCAAAGGTTGCCTTGAAACACGTTGTTCACGATATAATTTTTCAACTAAAATTGTTTTCACTGCATACAATGAATTTACTGTTACGATTTACAAGAAATGTTAAGGACAACTTAGTCAGGAAAAACATTCAAAGTACGTGAGGGCATTGGACAAATGCAGAAAGTGTTTGACACTTGACAGTTCATAGTTATTTCAGTGAATAGTTGGCATAAAGCACATTTCTAAATCTCGAACATATTTGCTATGAATACTATCTTTTTTTCAATAAAAGCAGGCATAAAATCATGCATTCCAACAAGCATGATTAGACTAGCACATAGAAATTCAACTGACATTTACATATGATACAAACTTGAAATATAAAAAGTATGCTCCAGGTTTGCTGACATTTCTAAATTCGATGCCTTTCCTATTGTACATATTATCCTTGTGAAAATCTTATCAATATTCTAATTAAATCACACGGCCCGTATAGAAAACTTATAAACAATTGAAACTTCCCACTAAATGTAAAGATTTTAAATTTTGTCTTTCCAGCTACATTAGGTTATTTCTGGTTTAGCAATTAATTTACATTCAAGACAAAACATACTTGGGAATATAAAAAATTTAGTGGTGATTGAAGAGAAGTAACTTTATTATTGAAGTAACACAGTGCATGGGCATAGTATTGTATATAATAATATGTATATTATCAAGACAAATGACAGATAGAAAATATACCTGCAAGGCCGCTCTGTAGTCTCCCAAATGAAAAGCACAATAAGCAATCCAAAGACCATTTCTTTCATCTGCTTTACCAGAATTTCTTGCAAACTAAAGAGACATTTTATAACAATGGAATTATCTAATGTTTGATGATATGAATTTGGTTCTTAAAGTTGATGGAGTAATCTCATCATTGACCTTGCCTCTTAAGTTTTCATATATTCCAATCTGGAACTTCATTAAAAGTAATTTGTGTTTAAATCTGAGAGGTTTAGCCTCAACACAATTATGTCTTATTTCATTAATGTCTTATTTAATTATTAGTACTTAGGTGTGTGAAATGTAATCTTTAGAGTTATGTGCATAAACTCTAGTTTTTGAATGTGAGGTGCATGAAATATAGTGTTTCCAAGCTAATTGTGTGTAATATAGTGTTTATGAGTTAGGTGCAGGAAGTACAGTGTTAGTGAGTTAGATGGATCATTATATTATTTGTGATTTAGGGGCATGGACTATAAATGTCAGGAGTTATGTTCATAAACTCTAGTCTTATGGTATTAAGTGCAGGAATTATAGTCTTTGGGAGTCAATGTAGTATAATATGAAAGAAATGCATGAGATTTCATGATAAATTAAATTTGCTGATGCATTGTTACTTTGCATATCATTATTTCATATTTTCTCATATTGTAGATCCCACATGCATGGAGTTGTGAAAGTCCTTTACCACCTTTGGCATTCACTTCAATTACTCTTACTAGTTTTTCATTGCTCATGTGTCATGGTGATTTATGGCCAAGAATGTTTATTTGTAGTTTGGATTCTTTGTGGATGTCAGTTGTTTGTTCATATAATAATCATGGGCCCCATTATTATATGAGCCCACCTGAAGGTTGTCAACTGATACTCACAGAAGATACATCAACTCTGCACTAAACATTCTTTATGTGATGATATAACTTTGTTATTGAAGTGGTCCCTTTCCCTTTGCTCGAAGTTGCGTATATAAAGGAATGAAGTAGCTACAAAAGAAGATATAAAAAGTTTGGTTATAGTCGACATCATCAATAGAAAAGGTTTTGTGATAAATGATTTTATGCCTCTTGATTCATCTCTATTGTTCTTGTTAAAGTCTCAATGGTTTTTGTTGATGGTACTGATTTTTGGTTTGTTTAGTGAATGGCACATTTATGCCGTTAATTGCATAGAGGTACAGATTATTCAGATTGTGGTGTAGACCTGCAATAAATACGACCTGCGATTTCTTGTCACGTGTCCTAAACCTTTGATCGCTGCGGTAAACGGTCCAATAGCTTGATTTGGTCTTTCCCTTCTCGCATGCTGCGATATAGCCTTTGCTTCAGAAAAGGTAATTGTATTGATTTTATAAAATTACTCATCCTGGCTGGTCTGACTTCATCTTTGTTTTCAACTGTTTAATATCAGAGTTATGTTTAATGTGAAAAATAGTGATTATCTCAAAAGAAAAGAGTTTTTTGCGCATACCGTCACGTCACTAACATTTAAGTCATTTTTGAGAGTTTTGTGGAAAAAAGAAAGGAATTGATATAATTTTTAAAAACAGCCGAACTTTCTTGAATATCTTATGTCAAATATTTACTGAGTCGTTTTTGATTGGTCAATTTACTTCGCCAATGAATGCAATAAACACGTCAATAATACATTCAGACGAAAATCCCCAAAGTGAAAAAATTTATGTGGCGATGTTAAACCTCGACGGGTTCAGTTTCCTTTACCCACACCCCTTAATATAATAAAGTACTTTGTTCACCCCCTAGTGACTCCTCATTAGAACATTACATAATTTTTATTTCAGTTGACATGTTCGTGGTGTTTTTTTAAATGCAAGTTTTCAAACGAAGTTTGTGGAGTGGGGTCATCCTCTAGTTGGATGTTGCTCTCTAAATTTACCTCATTTATTTGGTCATTCACAGGTACACGTGACTTGTTTATATTAAACGGAGGCCAGAGCACTAGGTCATATTTTGCCATATTATGTATTTAAGTTGTATCCTCGCCCTATTGATCACTTTATATAAACATTAAATTGTTTTCTTTTCTTGAACCTGATAGAATGTGTTATGTTCTGAGGTGTTAAAAATTTACTGTGAGGTTGAAAAGTAATTAAAACTACGAATAGTTTTATCTAAGTTCCCTAAAATTTTGCTCTCCCTCCCCGCCTTAAAAAAAGTGTATCGTGAAACATAATTGTTGTTTTTATAAAAGAACCGAGATGCTTTAAAAAAAATTATTTTGTGTTACAGTGAATTTCCTTTAAATCAGGCAATGTCTGTTATTCTTTGAAACACGAAACTCGACTGCGACATGGCAAAGGAACGCGGAATTGTCGCAGAAATTTTATCTTTAAAACATTTCGAGAAGGAACTCAGTTCACGTTTGGCGAGATTTTCACTAGTTTCTAGACAGGTTTGTGTGTCTATTTTTACAAGTTAGAGGGATTGGGCACTATTGGAAAGCGGAAGGAGAGGGAGGGGGTGGGCGAAGCTTAGCAACTAGAGGGAGAGGGGACACGGGACCTTTGAAAATGAAATGAATTTCTATTGTTATTCACGGCCGTTCACGTCACAGAAGTTGAAAACATTTACAGTTTCGAACTTTTAAAAAATCCATTTCAGCAAATAGGAAAGCAGCGTATTTAATATTGTAGTGCCTTTGAGACACAAAGACGTTGATGGTCAGCGGTAATATACAAGAACTTGAGGATAAAAATCACGAGGAAAGCGATTTGTTTGAAAAGTACATCAGCAACGATGATATTTTGGATGGCATCGTAAGAAGATGGTGGACGAGATTACAAGAATGACTTACCATCCAGGTATACTTGCTATCAGACTTATGGCGCGTGCAAATATTTGTTGCACAAATAGGATATTGTGTCCCACTTATCCGTTTGTAACCGTTACATAGCAGAAATTGTGTCCCCAATGATTCGTTTGTAACCTTTACGCAGCAGAATTTGTAGCGTTGTTGGTGTAAATCATCGGTAGCTTGAGTTGAATAACAAAACATATTTGTTCATTTAAACACGATTTTTAAAATCTTTACTTTGGAGGAAAAAATTGCGTTTTGAAATTGCGTTTTGAATCAAGTTTCAAAATATAGAAAAAAAATTTTTGCCGGAAAATTTCGAACACTCGTTCTGTATCGTCGAAGTCATTGAGACTTCAGTGTTTACTACTGGCGTAACGGACTTCTAAGTCGCAATAACCTTATTTTCTTGCGCTTGGTTGAAAAATGATGCAGTTGTTTAAAAATAAGTGTCATTAATTAACATGATGTCACGTGACTTCAAGTAGATGTTTGCCAAGATGCTTAACACTTCGGTGAAAATGGCTTTTATCAAACTGAATAAAATACAATGAAAAAAAATACATCGAATATTTCATAAACAGGAATCAACGTAATGTTTCAACTACATTTTTGATTTGCGTTGTAAAAAAAGTCATCCCTGCCTGCGCGCATTCCTCCGAGAGCCATCTTTGAGAAATCAGTTCGCATTCTATATTACTCACATCATAAAGTTTCTCCAGCTCAGCTAAGCGATATAATTTCTTGGACAACGAGAGCGACTGTAATGGAGAAGAAGCATTATATGGTTAAATGAAATCACGCAATAACTTGCTTCACATACATAAAAACCATGCTTTCTCTAGTAATTATATCCTGACTAGGGGCTTTTTGCATTGAAGGTTATAACTCCGTTCTTGTAAAGTGTATCGTGGTCAGCTTTGTGTAATGAGTTTAAATATTATAGTGAGACCGTGCGTAGTGATGTCAGAAGCGCTTACTTAAAAATGTTTTTTCATATTATCGATGAAAATTATTTATATTAATGTGACGATACAAAAGCTGACTTTGACCAAGGGAAAATGAAATCGACCTTTCGTCTTAAACGAAAGCATTTGAACACATTTTCCACATCAAAAAGAACTTTGACAAAAAAATCGAGTCCACCCCCACTGAAAATGAATTTTATCTTGTTTTTATATCTTCACCAAAAGAGTATAATTCATCTATTTGAGCCCATTTTCCACAACAAAAAGAACTTTGACAAAAAAATCCAGTCCACCACCTGAAAATGAATTTTATCATATTTTCATATTTTCACCAAAAGACTATAATTAATGCATTTGAACACATTTTCTACAACAAAAGGAACTTTCACAAAATAGGGATTCCAGCCCCCTGAAAATGAATTTTATCATATTTCAATATTTTCATCAGAAGGCTATAAGTCATGCATTTGAACACATTTTCCACCTCAAAAAGAACTTTGACAAACAATCGAGTCCATCCCCCCTGAAAATGAATTTTATCATATTTCAATATTTTCACCAAAAGACTATAAATAATGCATTTCAACACATTTTCCATTCAAAAAACATCTTACAAAAACAGGGATTCCACCTCACCCCCTGAAAATGAATTTTATCATATTTCCATATTTTCATTAAAATGAAGACAAGAACTTTTACCAAAATAGGGATTCCACCTCCCCTGAAAATGAGTTTTATTATATTTCCATATTTTCATTAAAAGACTATAATTCATGCATTTGAACACATTTTCCACTTAAAAAACAACATTGACAAAAATAAGGATTCCACACACACCCCTGAAAATGGGTTTTATCATATTTTCATATTTTCCACAAAAGACCATAAATCATGCATTTGAACACATTTTCCACAAGGAAAACAACTTTTATAATAATAGGGATTCCACCCCCCTGAAAATGAATTTTATCATATTTAAATATTCTCATCAAAACACTATAATTCATACATTTGAACATATTTTCCTCAAAAAAGAACATTTAGAAGAATCACGATTCCACACCCCCTGAAAATGAATTTTATAATATTTCCATATTTTCATTAAAAGAACATAATTCATAGATTTGAAAACATTTTAACAAAAAACAAAAAACAACATTTAATAAAATAAGGATTCCACACCCCCTGAAAATGAATTATATTATGTTTTCATATTTTAAGCTTCTTTCCATTATTTCACCAAAAGACTATAATTATTGCATTTCAACACATTTTCCGATTAAAAAAAAACTTTTACAGAAATGTGGCTTCCACCCCCCTTGAAAATGAATAATATCATATTTCCATATTTTAATCAAATGACTATAATTCATACATTTGAGCACATTTTCCTTAAAAAGAAGAAATTTTACAAAAGTATGGATTCCACACCCTCTGAAAATGAATTTTATAATATTTCCATATTTTTATTAAAAGAACATAATTCATAGATTTGAACACATTTTCCACTTAAAAAACAACATTTAACAAAATAAGGATTCCATGTTGACGGTGCGTCTCTTGACATGATGGAGGATAATCAAAGCGATTAAATATAACAACAGTTTAATATACGCCATGTTACAGAGAGTAGTAGAAAAAAGCACATGGAATAATTAATTATTTAGAATTTACATAATAGTTCAGGGAGTTTGAGATCAGACTCCAACACCCCCACATGATCTCATAACTTCATAAAGTTTTTTTAGAATTTCTTCGAGATCAACATAACATAAAAATTTACATAAATGTTTATATAAGTGTTCTTTAGTATAGCTTTCCCTTAAGTGATAATAAATGGCATTAGTTCATTTTCCAAACATGATTCTTTGAAGTTCATTAACTTGTTACGAGTAACTGGCTTAGTGAAGATGTCACCTACCATATCATTAGTAGGACAATAATTTACCACAACATTTCCTGCATTAATATTCGAACGAATGAAATGGTATTTTCCATCAATATGCTTTGTTCTTTGTCTACTAACTGGATCCTTGGATAATGCTATTGTTCCTTGATTGTTTTCCTAAATTTAGACTGGGTCTTCTAACTCAATCAGTTTGCCCAACAACTGAACCAAATGCAGATATCACTTGAACAGCAAGTGATAACGCAACATATTTTGATTCACAAGAGGATAACGCAATGGTTTGCTGCTTCTTTGATTTCCATCAAATTAGAGGCCCTTCCTTTGACAAACTAAAACATTATCCTCTAACACTTCTTTTACCAACAGCACATTCCAATTTCAACCTGATTGCTTTAAGCCGTAGATTGACTTGTTTAACTTATAAACTACATTCTCTTCTTCTTAATCTTATTTACTTTTCAGGGGGGGTGGAATCCTCTTTTAGTAAATGTTGTTTTTAAGTGGAAAATGCGTTGAAATGCATTTTAGGAGGGGGGAATTCCTATTTTTGTAAAAATCCTTTTTGGTTTGGAAAATGTGTTCAAATCTTTTAATGAAAATATGATAATATTCATTTTCAGGGGGGAAATTCTATATTTGTTAAAGTGCTTTTTGTTGTGGAAAATCTTTTCAAATGCATAAATTATAGTGTTTTCATGAAAATTTTAAATATGATAAAGTTCGTTTTCAGGGTTGGGGGTGTGGAATTCCTATATTTGTAAAAGTTCTTTTTGTAGTGGAAAATCTGTTCAAATGTATGAATTATAGTCTTTTGGTGAAAATTATAAAATAGAATAAATTTCATTTTCAAGGGGGGTGAAATTCCCATTTTTGTAAAAGTTCTATTTGGTTTGGAAAATGTGTTCAAATGCAAAAATTATAGTCTTTTAATGAAAATTTTTAAATATGATAATTTTCATTTTTAGGGGGGGATTCTTATTTTTGTGAAAGTTCTTTTTGATGTGGAAAATGTCTTTAAATGCATGAATTGTAGTCTTTTGATAAAAATATAAAAATTTCATGTCCAGGTGACGTGGACACGATTTTTTTGTAAAAAATTTTTTGATGTGGAAAATGTGTTCAAATGTATAAATTATAGTGTTTTCATGAAAATTTTTAAATCTGATAAAATTCGTCTTCAGGAGGGGGTGGAATTCCTATTTTTGTAAAATTTTTTTTTGAGGGAAATCTGTTCAAATGTATGAATTGTAGTCTTTAAATAAAAATATGAAAATATGATAAAATTCATTTTCAGGGGGTGTGGAATTCTTATTTTCGTAAAAGTGCCTTTTGTTGTGGTAAATCTGTTCAAATGTATGAATTATAAGTCTTTTAATGAAAATATCAAAATATGATAAAATTCATTTTCAGGGGGGTTGGAATTCTTATTTTCGTAAAAGTGGTTTTTGCTGTGGAAAATCTGTTCAAATGCATAAATTATAGTGTCTTGACAAAAATTTTCAAATATGATAAAATTCATTTTCAGCCTGGGATGCAATTCTTATTTTTGTAATATTTTGAAATCTTTTTGATGTGCCCTAAAAAACACATAAAAAAGTTCAAAATATTTTAATAACAATAAATCATGATATGTTTGTAAATGATGATCGTCCAGGTTAATAAAGTCCTGAGAAGGACTGTTTTTGATGTTGTTGACTGACGTTTCGACTACCTTAGCGGTAGTCATCTTCAGAGTCAAATGAGGAGTAAACGTCAGGTTAGCCGTATTTGTTGTCTGGTTCTTACGTCATTGTATTGTGTGTACAGGAAATGTGCAGGAAATGTATATTGTCATTGTGGATTAGTGTGAAGTGAAATATTTTATTTTTAGTTGTGATGTGTGATTTAGGTGTGACGTTTTTAGTTGTAGTGTTAGGGTGTCAATTGTGTATTGTCATTGTGAATGAGTTTGAAGTGTAATGTTTTTAGTTGATCGTTTGTTTGTATTGTGAATAAGTCGTTTGTAAGGTGCCGGTAATTGCTGTGATCTGTTCAGGGGGGTTTGTTCCAAGTTGGTATACCAACTTTCTAATGTAAGCCGTTTTCTATAGTCAGTACTGTAAGTGATGCATTTTGCCGAGTCCCAGTCAATGTTGTGCTTTGTGATTCGGTGATGTTCGGCAATGTGATTAGTTTTGTCTTGTTTCTTAGTAGCTCGTTTGTGCTCAGTAAGCCTTATGTTTAAGTTCCTGCCAGTTTCCCGATATAGAGGCGTGGCAGTCGGAGCAGTTTATTTTGTAAACTGCACCTTGTCGTTCGTTGGGTTGTTCTTTGTCCTTTATGTTCGTTAGTACTTGTCGTAATGTTGTGATTGGTTTATGTGCGACACGTATGTTGTATGGTCGTAAGATACGCGAGTCTCAGACGTACCTTTGATGTAAGGTATCGTTGCTGTTGTCACTGAGTTGTTCGTTTCGTTGGGTTCGTCGGGTTTGTAAGTGTTGCGTTTGATAAAGTCAGAGTTATAGTTGTTTTGTCAAAAACACGTTTGAGATAGTTGTTTTCGTTTCTGTAGAGCGTCCGGTGAATCACATATGATTTGTGCACGTCTTGTTAATGTTCTGATTGTGGTGGCTTTGTGTGATGTGGTGTAAGATGATTGGTCTAGTAGTCGGTCAGTATGTGTTGGCTTGCGATAAACTGTTGTTCCTAGTTTTTGATTGTC